CTTGGGCTTACACACCCCAAAAGAACCAAATATATAGACATACTTATATTACAACCCATGGTGACATGATCAAATTAGTCCTCAAAATTTCATGTAAATATACAACACAATAGATCATGTACAAGTCTCAAGGTTTATACAAAACTAGATGCCTATATGCAAATGTGATCTTCCTTTAAGGCTCTCAAAAGTTCCATCTCCAATGGCCAGCTTCATGCAACCACTCGATCATTCCCTACGATAGAAACAACTATCGCTAAGCATATAACTTAGTGGTGTAAATACTATAGGTTCGGAGCCATCCAATTCACCAAGTTAACTTTCTCAAGTCATGGGCAGCACCATTGAAATATAATAATTAAATCAAGTAAACAAAATAATAAAAGTATCAAGTTCGATATTTAAAGATCCAAATGTCAAGAACGCTCATAGCACATTTTTCCAAGAGATTCAATAACAAGACTCGCCCAATATATAGATCATGTCGTCACACCAAGCACAAACAGGTATCAAGAAGGGCCGACGCCATGTATCAAGAAGGGTCAAAGCCCAATAATCAAGAGAACCAAGAACCATATTAAAAATGGCTTTCTAGTTCGTACTTAAAATGGACAACTTTCATTCTTAAGACGGACTAAAAATCCAGAGTCAAGATGGAAAATGATTCCGAATCAAGAGGCATGCCAATAGTGACAAAGTCACAACCACAAGAAGGACAAGGTCCCAACAATAGTTCCAAGTGATCAAACAAATCCATACAAGTGGGCAAATTACACAAGCGTCTTTAACGTCTTAAAGGATACCAACACGACAATGCAAAATGACAAGAGGTAACCAAGGTACCAAGATCAACCTTCAGATATACCAGCAGTTAAAAGAGTGCAAGTACAAGTTTATACACAAACTTCAGTGCTTTAGCAAAGAAACAGTCCAACACAACTTCGTGAGTTCAGACCGTAGACCAACCAACGTTTCAAGGTCCTCAACTTGTTCACGAGTATATACAACCTTAAAAACACAATCAAATAACTTCTTTAATTCCTATTATCTCAATAATATCGAAGTAAAATAGGATTATCATCACAAGTAAGCTTAGCCTGTACAAATACGACTATGCTCCCAAAACAGTGATTCTGGCCTGCCTAGTACCTTATGTCGCAACTTAGATTTCAAAAGGAAAACGACAAAACTAGACTTTATAACCTTCATGAAAGATGTAGGTACATCTCTTAAGGTTGCAAACAAACAAGAATCACCGCAAAATATATTTTGTACAAAAGGATGTATTCAAAACACTAACAGTTGTCCATACAGGATTTCTACTTTCGAACTCTGGACAGAACTTGTCCTATGTTGCGTCCCATATTTCGAATCCATAACAGCTAAATTAGAGTTTTATATAAACATAAGAGTTGTAGGTCTAGGAATTAGCTTTTCAGATCATATTTATTCACTGTAAACGAAGTTCTGTAACTCAATTTATGCTTTAAATACTAAACACTACCAACCTCCAAAACAGATTTGACCACTTATCAAAAAGAAGTGTGTGTCTAGGATTCCAGCCAAAAGGGCCAAGTTTTTCTCTTGTGATTTTGAAGAACAACTTGTTAGATAATGTTCTAAGGTTCTTATACTTCAGGTGAGACAAATTTGACTTGAAGAGGTGTCAAAATATAGTCTCAAAAGTGATGTTTACCACAATGCACAATTGTCTCCAAAAGGTGGCTGCCCAAATAGTTGTGTGCTGCCCAAAATGCATACATATACACCTATATATATATCCCTCACCTCATTTTAAAGTTATACATAATTCTAATTAGAATATTACGAAAATACCCCAATACAATACCTTAAATTACGATCACAATTTATGTTAAGCAGGTTTTCAATTATCACAAAACTTCAAGTTTCCAAAATGAGAATAAAACATATTGTAGTAATTAAGCAACGGTAAATCGGCATGCGACTCTTGGTTAATATTTAGGGGTGTTACACGTAGAAAAGGGTCATACTTTTTAGATGACACCTTAATGCTTTTTAGCATAGACTAGTTGATCTACTTAGTTGATGCGTTCTATATCATGACAAGTTATAGGACAGTTCTAGCAGCGTGGACGAGACGTTGTATCATCACATTAGCTCATAGTGATGGTTATCAGTTAGAGAAACTGCTACAGAAGTATATTACCTTATTATATGAGTAAATTGAGTTCTTATTTCGATTTAAATGCTTTATATCAACTTCACTTTTACTGTTGTTTTATTCTGCATTTGAGTTGAGTATCCATGAGTTGAGTAAAGCTAAGGTTAGTGTTCTCTTCAGATTCTTTTCAAGCTTATGTCATGTTTAGTTTTTCCATCGCATGCTCGTACATTCAATGTATTGATGCTTTTAGCCTGCATCATTTTATGATGCAGATACAGGTAATCAGGATCAGCATCCAACGCTCGTTGATCCAGTTGAGCATCTCAGAGTCAGTTGGTGAGCCTCCTTGCTTCCGGAGGATTCCTTTTTTATTTCTTTGTTAGTCAGTTGTTAGGATGATCGGGAGTCTTGTACCGACATCCCTCTTAGTATTTAGAGGCTTCATAAACAGTTAGATATGAGTTCTTTAGTCTTGTATTTAAGATGTTTTGCTAAAAGACTTGAGTTGCCACTTTGGCTAATTTGAATGTTTATCCTTAAACGTTCTACGTTTATTTGAGACAGTTGTTTTAAAGTGCATTTGAATCCTTGTATTAATGCTTTAAGTCTTTCGCTATGAGTTAAGCCAGATCAAGGGTTCACTTGGGGCCAACAATGGTTCTCGAGTGCCAGTCCCACCCAGTGTATAGGCTTGGGGGTGTGACATTAAGTTTTGAGACTGGTTATGATTGTTCAATATTTTTAGAACTTATATGATGATGGAGATGCGAGTCAATATGGATGAGTTGGTCTAAGGTGCCTGTTTTATGTACTGTCCCAAAAGGGTCAGGGAATTGGCATGATAAATTGAGAAGGACTAATAAGTTGGTTGATAGGGCTAGTGATAGCATGATATTCGTGAATATTAATGTGGTAGAAATGTTAGGCTATGATTGAAATTAATATGGTGATCTTGTATTCGTGGATATTAATGTAATAGAAGGGTTATGTTATGATTCGACATTATGATGACATAACATGTAGGCTTCAAAAATCTTAGAGGAATATAAAAGATAGGCTTGGGAAGCCTTGAAATGACAAGAAGTTAGAATGTTAAAATATTAAAGTTAGTAGCGGAATGAGGTAGGAGGTTGGGTTCACAATGTACTAGTTTATGGGTATTATACCTGAGATGGTGAAAACATGTGGATAGAGACTTAAGGGTGGTGTAACTTTCATATTGCATGTTCTCTTGTGAATGTCTACTTTATATTATGTGGTAGGTTCGAGTCAACCGATGATGCCTACCAGTACGTGTTGTTTTTACCGATACTACTCTTGCTATGCCACTTGACATAGTCTGATTGCAAAACTTCAGTGATGTTTCATAAGTGAAGACTGTGGTGATCTCCGACAACTTCTACTGTTCTTTCCTCATGGTGGAAGTTGTGTCTTATTTCTTTTGTAAATCATACTCTTAGAAGCTTTTGTACCTGTTTAGACTAGTTAAATCAATTTATGGTGATTTCATAAACATTTAGGCTATTAGCTTATCTTTTATTTATTTTTCCACATATTATAACCAGTTTGGGGGTTGAGGGTTCTCCTATCTAAGTGTTAGAGTAGGTGTTCGCACCGTCCGGTGGGTTGGACCATGACAAAGGCGTTGAGTGAGAAGTCATAAAATCGACTAAAAAGAAAAAAAATGGACAAATAGTATTAGTATTAGTGGTTTAAACGGTAGGGTCGTGAGGCGGAGCGTTTTACTTAGTACAGGGAGAGACGTAATCCCTAAGACATGGGAGTAAGTCCCATGAATATTTAAATTTTTAATTTACAATATAGCAAAATAATACAATAACACAAAATTATAAAAATGCTTCAACAGTTTAAACTAATTAAAAACACGATTAAGGAAACTCATAGAAAATAAAACTTCTAACATTATTTTACAAGTATAAATAATGTAATGATATAAAATTATTATGAGATGAAAATCAACTCTAATATTTTAACTTTCTAATAATAAATTAATCATTATTTTCAGAAAGATATTACAATCATACTATGCAATTTACCCTATGAAAGAAAATAATTAAAGTAAAACTTTTTAGTATTATAATTAAAACATCACTCCATTATGAATTAAAAAAAAATTACTTTCAAATAACTAAATAATAGAATATGACAATGTTGAGACATATGACAAAAACATGAAGACCAATAATAAGTGAAGTAAAATTTCGGTATGTATTTTTAAAAGAAATGTTACGTAATATATTATCATCCTCACAGTGTTACCAAATAGTAAATATGTGATACTACAACTTGTTATTTGAGTTACTCTCGATCTTTTTATTTCTATAGATGATTTTTTTTATTAAATATCATTTATTTATTAAAGAATTATGATGGTCAACAATGTTAACTAAAAAATTCAACACATAATTTGTGTAAAATTTGTTAGGCGAGCCTCGAATATTGGACAATGAACGTATTTAAATTATACAGTCAAACACTTAAAACGTAAGTCTCACAGAACTAAACCCCACACATGAGTCTCAAAACATTTTGCTAGACCTTACCCAGGGTGCCAACGTTGCCTTTTAAAACATTGATTAGCGTTTATTAATTTAGTATATTATTAATTCCTCAATTATTAATGCGCTTTTTGAACCAACCGACCTCTCATGGATTAAAAGGTTGAACAAGTATGAAGAGACTAAAGGATTCCAAAATCAACGAGTCCAAAAGACCTCTCTAGCAAATTCTAACAGATAACTTGTCCTGAACCCCATAAATCCACTAATATTTTTTTCAAAAATCTTCCCGCCAGCCAACTGATTGTTACCTTCTTCAACAATCATCTGAAGATTGATCCATGGCTACTCAAAGGAATAACCCAAACACCTCTAAATCCATGGCTGATCAAAGGAATAACCCTAACACCTCTAAATCCATGGCTGATCAAAGGAATAACTCAAACTCAAACTCAAACTCAAACCCAAACCCAAACCCAAACCCAAACAACTCTAAATCTATAAACAAGAAGAGACAACCATTTGCCGACATATCCAATTTCAATCTTATACCCACTTCCACTCTCCGTAAACTTTGCTCCTTCTCCTCTCCTGCTACTTCGAAATCCCAAAATGTTATTCCAAAACCCCCAATTTCTGATTCCAATTCTTCAAAACCCAATTACAAGGAGGCAAACTCTGAAACAAGCGTCGCTTCTTCCGATTTCAATTCTGTTCAAAACCCTAATCCCTTCTACCTGGGAACTCGTCCACCATCCCTTGTATGATTTTCTTCCCTTCTTTAATATAATCTGTATGTATATAGTAGTTGCTTATTCCCCTTTATTTACATTTTGCTTTCTGGGTTCTCTCATTTAGGTTTATTTTACCCTCTTTGACATTACGGAGTAAGTATATTGCTTGCTTACAAACAGCTTCTGAACATTGTTCCTTGTTATCTGGTCTTCTTGACTCATCGTTTTCGTGGGTTTATGTTGTATTTGTGGGGTTCCTTCCTAACATTATTAGGATTATAATGTATAGTGTTAAATTATTATCTGAAATGATGAAATTTATTATGGAAAAGAAATTGATTTTTTTGTAGGCTTTTAGGTTCTTTTCCTTTTTAGAGTTACCACAGCTCAATGATAATACCATAATGTATAACTAATTCCGCCATTTGGGATATCTACAGTGAGGATTCTGAAATCCAAACGTTATGAACCAAATTAGTAACTTTAGTTGCAATAGTTGTCTTGAATCCAACCAAACTTGTGAAACACGAATTTCAGCAATCTTTTCTTAAAAAAATTACTATTGTGAACCTTTTTAAGTCTTTAGTTTAAAGTAATCCTTACTATCGATACAGTAGTCATAATAACTTGTAACTGTGTGCATGTGAAGATTCATATAGTCTGTCCGAAGTCTAGTTAAAGGAGGAGGTGTGTTAGATTAAATGCAAGTGTGACAATGGTCATAGTGTGATGTATAAAGGAATATGATATGAAGATGCCGACCCCTAGAAAATTGAGTTCTATGTTGGGAAGCAAATTGCAAACGTGTTCCTGCCATTTGAACAGAAGCAATCTATGTAATAATTAACATTAGTTTGTTTGGTTCCTCATTTTCTGTATAAGCTTGGCTTCTTATTTGGTGTTGTGAAAATTATCTCACTCCAGTATTGAAATGCTAAATTCCGGGAATTGTGCTACTATGCTGTTGTTTTGCTGACCTTTCAATGCCTATTTGTTGGCATGCCTACGGAAAACCTGTCTAATTTGTCTCTTGTTTGTTACTCAAGCTGGCAGGGGTAATGAAGCTGTACTGTATAATCGAAGGCACACTACAAAGAAGTCCAATTTAGAAGCTACTGCTCTGCCCTTCACTTCCAGTCATGAAAACAAAAAAGACAAAAGGAAGGAGATTGATGTGCCTTGCCTTTCCCTGCCTCCTCCTACAGTTATGAAGGATAAAGGGAAAGCAATCGCTGAGCCTTTCAGTAGCTTATCTCCTGAGACTAGGCAAGATAAGGGGAAAAGAGCAGTTGTTCTGTCTACCCCAGTTTCAGGAGATAAAGCTGTAGTTAACAATCGAAGGCAGACTGCAAAGAGGTCTAATTTAGAAGCTAGTGCTCTGCCATTCACTTCCAGTCATGAAAACAAAGAGGACAAAAGGAAGGAGATTGATGAGCCATTCCTTTCCCTGCCTCCTCCTACAGTTATGAAGGATAAAGGGAAAGCAATTGCTGAGCCTTTCAGTTGCTTATCTCCTGAGACTAGGCAAGATAAGGGTAAAAGAGCAGTTGTTCTGTCTACCCCAGTTTCAGGAAATAAGAAGACGAAAGGTATTCATGAGCCTTTCATGTCTTCATCTCCTCAGAAGGCAAAATCCAAAGCTCAGGCAATTTCTCATGAGCACTTCCCTTCAGATGAAAAAGCAGCTGAAGAAACAGTTGGTGTATCGTCTGGAAGTTGCTCATCGTTAAAGAGAACAAGGGGAAAAGGGATAGTAGATGCTTCAGTTTTTAGTTGCCCCACCTTGCCAAAGAAGAGAACGAATAGGTGTTTCTCTCTCTTTCATTGCTTTTCTATTCATGTCTTCTTCTACATCCATGTAATCATGAGGGAGTGTTTTTTCCCTTTTTCTATAATATCAGTATTTTTCCCTTTTTCTGAGGCTAGTCACATGAGATATGGAGCTTGTTGTGATGGTGTAGTTTGCTGATACCCTGTACCAAATATAGTTAGTTGAGTGAACTTTTCATGCTCCTAACCATGTAGCAGGCAAGCTTGGTCAATTAGTTGTACCTCTAGTTTTCAGCCTGAATTTTTTTCACTGGAATGTCTCCATGACTGTCTATCCTTTTTCTAGCTTGGGCCTGGCTGAAAATATCTGTGTTGGCAATGCATTCTACCTAGTATTTATCTCCTTAACTACCTGAAGTAGCATAATCTTTAATAAATTGGGCATTTCAAAGGCTCCACAGGTGCTTGATATGTAAGATAGCTCTGCAGCATGCACATTGGCAACAACCTCCTCTAGCCCTCTTTTCTTTCCTGCAGCATATCTTTAGTTGTGACGGTTTATGTTTAGCGTGGAAAAAGACATTATAAATGTGAATATGACAGCCTAAATAGTCAATGCTGATGCTTTCTTGATTCTTGTTTCTTCTATGTAGGAGTGAATTCAGTGGAGTTGGTGATATTAAACCGTCTGGATCATGGACGGATCCTACTGGAAAGCGAAAGAAGGTTTGCCAACAATCATCTCTTTTTCTACTGATCTCTAATGACAAGTATCTTTCACTTCCCTCCTTAGACATCCTTCTCATTGTTGTTAAGAAGGACATTCACTGATGGTATTGACCCTGGTTATGTTATGTTTGTAGGTTCAGTTTTAGTGCTACCGGAGATAATATGCTAAATTTTGTTTCATTCATATCTTTGCACATTTAGCTCGTGAAAGATATATGTAGGTTACATGTGAGAGATTTGTTATGTGTTCAGTTGACATTCTGAAACATTTCTTTCTAAGAGGTCCCAGTAGCAAGCCTAAGCTTACATGGCTGAGCCCCTGTCCTGATTTTCCTTCACCAACCATGCAAACCTAATATTAGGGGAATATGTACTAAAATATGACTCAGCGAGATACCTAAAACTGTGTGGTTGATGTTTAAATCTAGTACTAGTAATTTTTTCTAATATTGCTAATGTCTGCTTGTAGAATGAATGCTGTGTAATCATTCTTTTATCATAATCTACCATTTTGGTGGCTAATAACTAAAATGATTTCGCAGCGGAGGTGCACACAGCAGAAACCTGCCGTTGAAGAGTCCTTGCCACAAGATTTTGTCAACTACTGGCGAGAGCATTTTAAAGAGATTGATGAGTTTGAATTGCCAGAAGAGGAAGCATCATATAGTGATTTGGAATAGAAAGGAGAGGAACAGTGCTTGGCAGGAAGCAAATCTAGTGTGACCAACTGACCCCCATGTGTATAGTAATGTCCATATACTTCATAAACGTGTTGATGTAGCTGACTAACATAGTTATCAATGATAACTTTTTATAGTTGTTGTAGCTATTATGTGCATTTGTTGTTTGAAGAAGGGTAAAAGGCTCTTTTCCGCTGAATAATTATTACTTTCACAACACACGAACTCACTTTGAAAAGCCATGAAAATGGTGCATTTCTTTGATCAAACTGCACACACAATTTGTTCCAGGTGTTGGTTTTGCTAGATTTTGGCCAAAAACATCCTTCAATGACACCCACAACTTAAACTCTGCATCTTTGAACTTTTCGACAGCAACTTAATTGGAGTTTCCGACTTGAATACGATTCATAATCTTCTACAACTTATAACATTTTGATTCATATGAAATTAATAAAAGTCATTATTGTTCTCATCTTCTAGTTCATCACCTTGCAAATTATAATCAGTGTATAGAAACCCACTTTGGGGATGTTAGGATCGACAAGTCATGTAAATTGCACCAGGAGCCGTTAGTTTTTTGCCGGAGCTTATTGACAGCAGGATGAAAACTGCCAATATTTTTATACTTTAAGGATGCTTTTAGTTAACGAGCATAGTTCAAGGATGTAGTTTAAGTTGTGATTGTAATTGAAGGATGTTTTTGGCCAAAAACTCTTGATTTTGCTATCTTTGCAACGTGGATGACAATTTATATGCATGTGCTAATGTGGATCAATAAATATTGGAGTTAGGGGTGGAAGTTCGATTCTTCGATTCAGTTTTTAGTTTTCGATTTTGAGAAAGCGTGATCTGAATACCGAACTAAACTAAATTAGTTGATGTTTTTAAAACGGAGTTTTTTATGCAAATAAGAAATAAATGAGCGCCAAATTATCAAAGTATAAGACCAAACTATTTATTTTTCCAAAAAAGAAAAAAACAGTTTTAAGTCTAGTTACTATTATTTGAGCTATATATAGTGGTCACAAAGGCTATGAATCAGAGTGGAAATGAAGAAGTGTATGGTATTTTTTATTTTATTTTTGGCTATTTCATGACTATACTATTTTTAGTTTAACGATTTATTCATTTTTTATGCTTTGAGTTCATATCTAATCACTTTTTTACATATCCAATTTGACAGAGCATTTAAGCTGAAGTACATTGATTAAGCTAATTATTTTTTTTTTGGTCTAAATTGTGAGCTCAAAGCTCCTTTTTATTCAGATAAATTCTGTACAAAAACTGGGCCAAACAAGCCCAAATCAGAAAAGGAAACAAAGAAAAGGACAAAACAAGAACGTCTGTCTCCTTTCCATTTAAATCATCCCTAGACAACATTGATTAAGCTAATTAAAATATGTTTGAAACTCAAATTTTAAAAACTATATATTTTTGTGAGAGTTTTGGGCCAAAAACATCCTTTAACTATACCTACAATTTAAAATACATCCTTCAATTAGCATAGTGAACAAAAATCATCCCTAATGTATTTAAAGTTAAGTAAGTTTCATCCTTATGTGAAATTCTGTTTAAAAATCTAACAGAACTCATCCCACATGCAAGTTACATGAGTCGAGTCTCCAAGTACCACAACATAAGTACATTTAATGATTTATCTATTCTTCTCAAATAAAAACTGGAGCTTTTCTAGGCTAAGAACTTTGCAGATTCTGTCCCATTTATCCTTGTCAATATTTTTATTTTCTAGTGGTAAAGCTTTGTTACATAAACAAATTTAGCAAAATTGTAATAGAAGTTTCTTTGGACAATTTGAAGCTCAGGATTAAGCTATTAATTTGTTGTTATCATGCTCTGTTTTTCACTATTTGTCCAACTTTTTTAAGTATGCAAATCAAAGATTCTCTTCATCTATTACTTGTTCTTGCATTTTTTTATGCTTTCTGACCGTTAAAGTTTAGCACCAAAACGTTCTTTCCATGCTATTTTAACATGTGTTTTCACTCTCCATTTTCACAAAACCCAACAAATGAAATTCTTACTGCACTGTACAACTTCTTCAATTACCGGTGACCATCAACAAATTGCATAAACCTTAATTTCTTACATGTCTCAGTTTTTTCCAAACAACTACAACTTTAATTTTCTGATTATATGCCTGCAAACACTCCCCTCCTATTTTTGATCTGTCTCATGCCTTTCTTTCTTCCTTAAATGGACACATGAAAGAGCTTAACCTAGAAAAACTTTAGTTGTCCAGAAGAAGAAGCAATTAGGGAAAATGACTTATGGCTAGTCTAACAGGCTGGTTTCTGGGGTGCTTGGAATCATGTGTCATGCACATGGGATGGTGTCTGTTGGTTTTTTAGCGAGTGTTAAACGGAAGGATGAGTTTTGCTAAGTTTCGAATACATTAAGGATGATTTTTGTTAACTATGTTAGTTAAAGGATGTACATTAAGTTTTAAATATAGTTAAAGGATGTTTTTGGCCCAAAACTCATGTTTGTGACTTGTCTAAGTTTGGTCGACTATTTTTTTTATATACATCACATTGCTTTATCCAACTTTTATTTGGGAGATAGGACAAAATCAATCATTCTTGGTCCCAAGATGTCTTTAACGTTAGATAATTGAATGTTTAAATATGAAATTATAGGAAATAAATCAAGAGTGGAAATCTTAAGTAGTTTAATTAGGATTTGGTATTTGATAGTCAAACAACCTTTCAACATAGTGTCAATGTTCAAACATTATCAAATACCGAAGGCAACTCCAACAAAACAAATTAGTAAGTATTTAAGTTAATAGTGTATTGTCGTAATCCACACATCACACATGCAGTGTGTTAATTCAGGAAACCATTGAAGATTAGGAAGAAAACTTGAAGAAGATATTTTTTGGAATGAATTCAATTGTTTCATTCAGCTTAACATAGCCTTATTTATGCATGAACTAAACAACATCTATACTAACCAATTAACTAATTGTAACAACTGGAATGCCAAGTGGATCAGTTAAATTAACACTAATCAATTCAGCTTACTAACTAACAACATGATTAACTGTTTTACTAACTGATCTAACAAGTCTAACTAACATCTCAATACTCCCCCTCAAGCTGGAGGGTCAAGGATGTTAAACACTCCAAGCTTGCCAAGTAGATGTGTGTGTTGAATGCTGGTAAGCCCCTTGGTTAGCAAATCAACCTGTTGTTCCTTCGTATTCACATGGACAGCCTTGACAGTGCCTTCCTTGATTGTGTCTCTAACAAAATGACAATCAATCTCAATATGCTGTGGTGTCTATAATCAACTTCTGTTGAACATCTAAATACAATTTGTTGTTTCTTTGACTTTCAAGAAATTAGAGAGTCGCCAAACTTGACTGCAAAACCAGTAACTGACCTTCTGGTGTTTGGGCAAGCAGCCCAATCAAAGTCACACCGACAAGTAAGTTGCTGAGTATATCTAGACTGTAATAATATACCTTATCCTAGTGAATTTTTTAGGTACCTGATAGTCCTTAATGCAACCTCCCAACGAGACTTCCTTGGAATCTGCATAAATTATCTTAAGGTTTGTACTGAGAAGCTAATATCAGTTCCGGTTATGGTCATATAAAATAGCTTCCCAATCAACTTTTGATATGCACTGACATCACATAATAACAGGTCATCTCCTGTAGCATTGGTGGCTTCACCATACTCCCTAGTTGTGAGCTTTTGATTGACTTCTAAGGGTGTGATTGCCCATTTTAGAGATGAGTTCCAGCACATATTTCCTTTGATTTAACGATACACCTCTGGTAGATCTTAGAATCTCAATACCAAGGAAGTATTTCAGTTCCCCCAAGTCCTTCACTTTAAACTCCTGATTAAGGATATGTTTAGCCTTCTCAATCAAAATGTTGCTATTACTAGTGATTAGTATGTCATCAACATATACTAGCACAATTACAATGTCATCCTGATCATTATCAACAATGAATAGTCTTTGTGGAAAACCTGCATTCACTAAGGCTTTGTCAGATTCATGTTCCAGAAGTTTATTTCAAGCCATACAAACAGTACATACATCTATCTGAAATAGGTTCCATTCTCTAGAAACAGCCAAAGAATAACAAATCTCACTGTTACTATCTTTACTAAATGAGAGAAAGTAACCATCTTTGCTACATGAGAGAAAGTATCATGATAATCTGTAACCCTTGGCTACAAAGTTTTGCCTTAAATCTTTCAACCTCACCAAGGGGTGTCAATGGTTGTAATAAAAAAATATAATTACGAGGCAAGAAGGACTAGAACACACAACCTCTATAAATTTTTGCAATATCTTAATCACTAGACTAAACCTTTAACTTGTGTAAAGAGGTGTCAATATATATATATATGCTCCTATTGTGATGCTTAGAAAGTTCAAGTCATGACCTGTTGTATTGAAATCTTATTTGAGTGTTCATGCCAAGTGTGCTCTAGTCCAGTTTCAAAACTCTCAGTATGAATTAATTCCATCTATATTAGTAGACAAGTTAAGAAGTCAAAAAGATAGTAAGAGTAACTCCTTTCCCTTCCATGCTCAGTTTAACCGTCATTCGAGGACGAATGATTCCAAGGGAGAGATATTGTAACACCCCAAAAAATTCTAAGCTAAGATACAAATCATTCTTCATTTGTGAAAAAGACCGTGTCGGTTGATTCTTAAATTGTTCTTAGGTATTAAGGTCAATTCTTTAGTGTGAGAGTGAAGTTGGATATGAATTAAGGTCATTAGAACCCCCTAGCACAAAGTTGAGTTGAAAGCTTCCTTACCAATTAAATTTTGATATAAGATTATACTTAGGTCAAATTCAAATGACCATCTCTCATCTCATAATGAATTAGGTGGCCCATGACCTATCAAATTAAAGGTATACGTGTCATCTTTCCAACTCTACCTAGTTTGCCTCATTTCGAGTTTGCAGTAAAATGTTATGCCAGTTTTAGTGAAGTGTTGTAATGCAGTCGATGTTCTACGACTGGACCTATGGACGGTAGAAATTTCGATGAATGGTAGACCATTCCGTAAATGCTTGCTGCAATTTTTTTCC